GACCCCTGGCAGTCTTCAAGCTGGCACTGGACAAGCACCTAAAGTCAGTTCCTGATCAGCCGGGCTGCGGCTCGTACGTTGGTTTGCGTGCAGCCAGCAGCAACAGCCTGGTTGATCAGGCGCTGATCCACCAGGAGGCCTGGTCACAGACCGGGCCACGGGGGCGTTGACCCCCGAAACTCTCTCCAGGTAAACTCCAGGTAAACATACCTCATGATCGTTTCTTGTGAGTTACCCACCTTCTTTCCTCAGCCTGATCACCTAATCTTTGTTGTCTTCCTTCTGATGTGGCTATACAGCAGTTTCGGGTCAGACTTGACTTTCAATGCTATATTATAGTCATACTATCGCTGGGCCTCCCTCCTTACCTGTGCATACTCGTTCTTGGCTCTTCAACTAACCTCATTATTTTCCTGTGTTCTTTGCCTTCTGTACTTTTTCCATTCTCTATTGCACTTAGTTTTTGCCTACTTGCACCTTTGGGTAAGCCAGGGGCTCGTTTTGGTCTTCCCATTATTTCTGTTGCCCTTGGGAACAAACCTTTCCTCTGCTTTCTTGCATTTTGTTGTTACATATTCCATCATTTCATTTACCGACTTTCCTGCCACTTCTCTGTTCCACTGAACCTCCTGCAGGAAGTTCCTCAAACATGTATTGACTTGTGTAGCAGAATCTTGCGATTTCTGGCAACTGTTTACATCACCGGTTCAAACTACTATGCAAAAAACTTCCTTCTTTATTTCATCACATTTATTGAGGTATCTTATCTATACACAACTGTATCACTATCTTTTGCAATATTGCACTATGTACTATACTCAGAGCCAGATTAAGACCCTTAGAAACCCTATGCACTTGTAAGATTTTGGTGCCCTTCAATCAACACAGTTACACATATCACAGGCAGAACCATATGAACAATTTAATTCCCGGCTTACAGCTGAATCTTGTGCTTTCGTGCTTTAATATAGACAGTTTTGTCTCAGAGTTTGTAAACTGTGAAGTGGAGTTGCTGGGAGGGTTGTATAAATTATTAGTGTTAGCGGAACTTGAACCTACATAGTAGCGCATGGATGCAGGCTGCCTTGTGTCACGTGATAAAATAAACTTAGTCACTGCCACCACCACGTGACCAAAAAAAACACACGCTGTCCTCAGACTCCTCACCACCACCAGCACAGCACCATGTACAAAAGATGCACATGGAGACATCACCAACACTACAAACTCAGTTACCACCACCAGTCCACCACCATGTGATAAATAAAAATCAGAAAATACATGCATAGTCAAAAGCAGCACTATACACCGTTTGGCCATTTTCACGGGTTTCACAATATTTCATAAGCACTACCAATCCACAAAAATTATGAAACAATTATGTTATTTGTTGTCAGTGTCATGAAAATTGAAAGGAGGGGAGAGAGAGAGAGGTATAAAAACAGAAATCAGCTTACTTACAAAGTTAAAATGTTAACACGTGTGTTGTTGGCACACTGAATGCTGAGTGAGCTACTGAGTGCCGCTGCACTCAAAGTGGACGACTGAATGGGACAGCCGACATGACCAAGACAAGAACGTTCATGTGAGCCTCCATGGACCATGGGCAGTTACCAGATCCTAATTTTGTTGTACTGTATTCCTAAGATTAATGTACATGTATATCATTAACTTCTATAATTACTATTTATTATTATTACTTTATATATACAGGAGGGCCCCACTTATACGGCGGGTTAGGTTCCAGGCTACCGCCGTAAAGCGGAAACCGCCGTAAAGTGGAACACCCTTTTTTTCCACTTACAAATGCATACAAAACACTAGATAACAAGTTTACACTAACATATATTATGTTAGCAATAGAACCAGGCATCAAAAAAACAATAAAAAAGTACAATACACACATAGTGCACTTATTACTTACCTTAAAATATTTATAGTCTTAATCTAGGGTGAGACAAGTAGTATTTATTGTAAGAAATCAAGTGTGGTATGTATGGTAGTCAGCCAGGCTACCTTACCAGGCCACCCCACCCACACATACTATTCTATGATATTTAAGCATCCCAGAGCGATAAAATGTATATACAGTTCACTCATTACTTACTTTAAAATATAGGGTGAGATGAGTAGTATTTATTGTAAAAAATCAAGTATGGTATGTATGGTAGTCAGCCAGGCTACCATACCAGAGAGAAAGAATGAGTGCATGAGAGAGGACAGGCGCAGAGTTATGTAAACAAACCAGGCGAAGGTAGTTTTGTAAACAGTGTACACGTCTGGTTTGTGTACAAGTTACATTGTGTACAGGTTGTCTCTACATTGATACGGTAGAATAAATAAAGAAGAACACTCCCATTCTCATGTAACATCATTTTGAGAAGAAATGATGCTCGAGTGAAGGCAATGGAAGTAAGTCACTCTGACTTTTTTGGGTTATCCTAGGTTTCTTACACATATGTTATGTATTTATGTTATGTATCGTGTTTATTATATAATTTTGAAAAAAATATCACGGATGGATTAATGAAAATGTGTATATTAACGTAATATACAACATTTAATGATACACGAGCTCAGACAGCGTAAACAAACAAACTGAACAGGTTGTGGACGATCACTCGGTTCAGGCGAAATAGACGGTATTAATACGTGTCCAGTTTTAGTTCATTCATGTACATTTGTAAGAGTTTGTGAAACTTTTACCTTATAATATTTTTATTATTATTATAATAATTAAATCACGAAACAAATACTCTTACACTGTGTACAAGTTAGTACAGAATTATAGCTATAAAGTGAAGGCATACGAAAGGAATATTTTTCTACAGTTATCCCTAGTAACAGGTGACGGGCTAGAGAAAACGTAATTCTTCCGACACTTCTACAAACCGTTTGGTAAACATCTCATATATATTTGTATAAATTTTTATACTGTGGGTGCATGTATCATGTTTGTGTGTTACATAATGTGTTTCTTATATAATTTTGAAAAAAATATCATAGATAGATTAAGGGAAATGTCTATATTAACGTAATATGCGACATTAATGCGCCCAAGAGATTATTATTATTATTATTATTATTATTGCATCAAGAGTAGAGAGACTTAGTGATTTTAATGTGTACCTACATGCCAGCACAGTGTGTAAGTTTATTTAGGTACAGGTGTACACAAGTTTAATTATCAAGTACAATACACATAAAATATACAATAACTTTAAAACACTTGAAATTTTGGAAAGTTTCCAGACATAATAAGGAGATGTGCTCAGGGAGAATGTAAACAAACTCGGTGGGCAGCTGTGACCGTATTAGAAAGACAGGTGGGGGGAGCCGTATAGCGAGTTTGTCATAATTTGAAATGTCCGTATTAGCGGAACGCCGTAAAGCGAAACGCCATAAAGCGGGGCCCTGCTGTATACGTATATGTATTTTTTTCATTTAATGTGTGGGCCTCTTTGTGGACCCTGGTTTAGCTGCACCATCTGCAGCTTTGCACCATGTGGTCCATGGACCACATGGTGCATCCCTTTTCTTGATGCCCTAAGAACATGCTTATTTTGCTTAATGGTTAATCTAGCCCTGATTATACTTCATTTTCAGGGTGGTTTTCTGTTCTCTCCCACAAAAGTTATTTTATGTTACAGTATTTATTTGCAAACGGCACACGTCTCCCCTTGGAGTCTGGGCAACTTTTTTCCTTATTATTGGCACAAAGGTTGCAGTTTTTTGCCAGATGATTTTCCATTGTTGTAGAAATGTACTTAATAAGTTCACTGGCACAAGTTTATGCTTCCAGCACGTAAGAAAACCCTGACAGTCCATGAAAAAGATGGAGCCCACAGCGATGCTGACACCGGCTGACATGGCTACATATATATGTGTACCTAGATACCTGTAGACTAAGTGTTTACTTTGAAGCATATTAGCAAACAAAATTTAGATGAAGGTAAGAAAGTTTGTGTTACAGTCATGAATTTAGAAAAGACATATGTTAGGGTGGATAAGGTAGCAATGTTGCAGATGTTGCAAGTGTTTGGAATAGATGGTAGGTTACTGAAAGCAGTTAAGAGTTTTTATAGTGAGGCTAAAGTTAGGGTATGTAGATTATTTTCCAGTAAAAGGCCCTAGACAGGAATGTGTGATGTCACTATGGTTAACATATTTATAGATGGGGTTGTAAAACAAGTAAATGTTAGGGTGTTGGAGAGGTGTGGGATTATAATATAGAGTCTGATACAAAATAGGAGTTGTTACAGTTGTTTTTGCTGCTGATGCTGCTTTTGGGAGATTCTGAAGAGAAGTTGCAAAGTTTGGTGGATGAATTTGGGAGGGTATGAAAAGAAGTTAATTAAAAATGAACACAGAAAAGGGCAAGGTGATGAGAGTAAGAGAAGATTTAGACAATGAAATATTGGATATCAGATTGGGAGGGAGTACTGGCACACCTCTGTAAAAAACAGTGAAAGCAAGTTATAGTGAAAGTTTCTTCTTCAGGTCACCCTATCTCAGTAGGAGACAGCCAGTGTAAAAAAAAAAAAAAAATCTACTGTACTGATTGCAGTTTGAGTAAGAAAAGGTGCACAATAAGTAATGAGCTGCTTCATTATATTCACAGGTAAGTGCTAAAATCACAGGAGTTGTATATAGTACTTAGGGACGTGGAGGTAAGCAAGTTTAATCCAAGTGAAGCATAGCTCCAATTTCTTGGATTAAGAGCCTTTAATTAGCATCAAGGAACCCATTTTGAAAATAGGAAGTATTATTAGGAGAGGGGCTATACCCATAGATGTCATACACACACTGCCTGGGGACATAGCAGACAGTCTGAGGAAGGAAGAGAAGCCCAATTCTTTGGATCAAGAGGTCCTCATTATCATCAAGGAGTCTCCCTTGAGAGGAATGAAATAGCATTTCTACTTAAGGCTGCTATATTAAAAAAAAAAATCCTTGATGGTCAATAGGTTAAAATTTACTTGGTAATTACTGAATGCAAATATGTTTTTTATTTAGCTTTATTATAAATATTACCATCTACAAAAGGTGTATACAAAATAACAATTTACAAAAGGTTATAAATATATGATATGCTGATATATAAACTACTACAAGACAGTTGAATAATGCCAGTCAGTTATTAAATTTTATCACTGAAACCATGAAGACTGCTATACAAAAAATGTACAATTATTCAATATTTTTGTTCATCATTGGCTTGTGAAACAATCATTAGTTTGTTGTCTCTTAATAAGATATTAAAGATATCAGTTCCAGCAGTGTGACAGAAGATGAAGCATTCTTATATTCTTGTAGGAATAACTACTTTTATTATAATATACAAGTATAAAATATGTCAATATCTCTATAACTCTCACTCAATCTCAATTTCAGTCTCTCCCTGTATCTTTCACTCTCAATCTCTCTCTCTCACCTTGGAATGGCAACCTTAATCAAAACTACGTTTGTATTAATCAAAAGTATCAAAATGTAACTGTTAAAGATAAAATCCACAAATAAATAACAAAGGCACAATACCGTGACTGGAACGATACACAAATAACCTGCACATAAAAGAGAGAAGCTTACGACGACGTTTCGGTCCGACTTGGACCATTGACTTTGTCAATGGTCCAAGTCTGACCGAAACGTCGTCGTAAGCTTCTCTCTTTTATGTGCGGGTTATTTGTGTATAAAATCCACCATATTTACACAAAGTGCAACCCATCACTCTGATACACTAAGTTAATGTTATTAACATTTCCTGCCAAACCTCCAAGAGTTTGTATAAAGACTGGCTGGTGTTCATAAAAAAACAATCTGAAACATCTACTACAGACAGAATGGCATCTGCAAGTTCATTCTTAAGCTCTGTGGAGCTTTTGATTTATTATTAGCTCAGCACTCATTTTTTTAACTTGAGTTATACATATTGTAAATGGAATGATACAAAAGTCAAAGATAAAGGCACTTTAACAGGTTTACTTTGGTCATAGTCTAGATCTAACAAACCAAACCTTCAAAAATATACAAAGCATTTATAATAATTAAAAAAACTATCCTGATTTTATCCTAAGTACAATTATCTAATTAAAGCAGAAACCTAGTTTTACTTCATTAAAAAATGGCAATTTTGTAAAATGGAACTGTGTATGCATTATGTCATGTGAATCATGATAGTATACAGAACACACAAAGATTTAGAACATCTTGGGAAAAAAAAGACAATTTTCACCGAACTCGATTATCCTTTAAATTAATGACATTAATGAAATTAATTAATGACATTCCTTTATTAGGCAAATATTACATGTTAGCAGCAAAAGTCTGTTATACAGCTGACAGTGTCAAGCTGTGGTACATAGCATCTACTAAATTTATGCCCTTCATTAATATTCTATTAATTTTAATTCAATATTCTACATTAATTTCTGTTCATTAACATATAAAAATCTTTCCTTCGCTTGGATTCTGCTACGTCAATAAGCACACCACTGCAGCACCAGATCATTACATCTGAAGTTTTGGTAGTGTAAGTGTACAGTGTAAAAACTGAATGAAGAATAGAGGCATTATAAATATTTACTTATGGTATTTATGTTGAAACAAAAAGATGAAGAAGACCCTTCACAAATCCAATAATTTCTGATCCACCTAATTTACTTTCACCATACAGACGGTCTACAAAGCTGATTGGTACCTGAAATGTGACAGAATATTTATGTAATAATTTCCAAATGATATGAATAAACAATTTGCAATCAGTCAACAGGTTATAAAATACTATTTCACTTACATTACATTTATTCAAAATTAATGAAAAAAAAAAAAAAAAAAAAAATAGAATAACTAAATGCTACTTATAAAATAAATTCATATATTAACCATTTAAACCATTTGAGTCACAGGCTTTCAAAATACTTTTCACTTACATTAACATTTTTTGAAAAAGGGTAAAAACAATCGTAAAAAAATCAGAATAAATACGTAGGTTTTATAGAATATACTTAAATTTATAGCGCTTTTCATATCATATGAAAAGCTGAGCCAATATGAAAAAATGGTCTAGTGTCGTGTCACAGTCTAAAAAAAATCTGCAACCAGTGATAATGGAAAAAAAACACCATTTTTGAATATAAAAGGAACATCGTACGGAAAGGATGTATTTTTGTATTTTTATTTTTTATTTTTTTTATTTTATCTTTGTACATTTTAAAATGGATATTCTGAAATTGTAAATGTTTTAAATTTTCTACAATAGGTCTAAAATTGAATTACCAATTACTCAATGAAAAAATGATCGAGTGTCCTACTTTAATGAAACAAACTGAAGGGGAATCAAAACGAACAAATGGATGGTAAGGTTTCAACAAGTTGAGCCAAAAAAGATTACAATAATTTTAAGTATAGCTATAAGCAGGAAATTATATTTTGAATAATAAAATTAAAGTGGAAAGCAAGAAAATAAGATGGAGTGAAAATGGTTAATACTAAGCGTGTATACGAAGGAAGGAGGAAGTAGATTTTGGGAAATTTGACTATCGAATTGGGGAGTTTTGAAATAGTGTGAATTGCAAATGGCTAAGTTGGGATCCATGCTAAAGGGTGTAAAATTTATAATGGTGGTTCTGTAAATTGTGCAAGAAATGTAAATGCGGAACCTTTAATGCTATTGTAGAAAGAAATTGTGAAATGCTAAAATGGCTAATGGGAAAAATCGCAATAGCGTAAAGTATGCGGACACGTAATAATAGTAGAGCATAATTCGTAGTTGCATAAAAGGTTGAGAAGCTTCCAGGATGTACAGTTATAGATGGGCAACAAGATATTCTCTAGTTTTATCAGTTAGAGAAATAGTTGATGTTAATAAATGGCACAACATGAGAACGAGTAAATGTAAACAAGGGCGACTCAAGGGTTAAGGAAAAATATATGTCCTATGCAAGAAGAGAATGTTTCCAAAGATGAGTAAAGGCAAGTTTGAAAGGTTGATATTTAAAAAGAGATTAAGGTGCGCAAAGTTTGTGGTTATCGGGGTGGTGCGCAGGCAGAATGCAGATTGAGCCCCAATTTTGGCAAGTTAGGTGATAAACGAAAAAACAGATATTCGCTAGAGAGCTCCTTTTTACTATCGAATGGTTGCAAGAAACCACTCATTTATGAAATTCAACTATCCAGTACAGTGGTCAGAATTTAGCAATTTTGCCAATTTCACACAAATTTCATAAGATGCCAATTTCCGAATAGGGTTCAGAATAAACAAGAAAGACATTCCTGGCACTAAAATGACATTTCTTCTAGTCATTAGTCACGTCTCAAGGCCCCTCTTATATTCTTTTGCTTTCCACTTTGAATTTTTATTTTCACAAAAAATATAAGATTTACTGTTATGCAGACTACTGCATTAGTGTAAAAAATGGTATAAATATTATTGGTGCACTTGTGAAAGAATATTAGACTCACCAGTTGACGTGTATTGCACGCTTGGCACGATTTGTTTACTTTTGAAGTTTGGTAAAAATCGAACATTTCTGCTACTTTGAGCTCAATTTCAAGGCACCTTTCTTTGTAAAACCAGTCAAAATCATCTCAATTTCTGTAATATGTCTTCCATTCTATAAAATGAGACCAAGAAAACTAGAATACAACAATAAATACCATACGAAAATACACTGCAAAGTCGCTGATTTATTAAAAAAAATGGTCAAAGTTTTTTTTTCTCATTATGCACTGTGTGCTGCAGGATTTTTTTTAGACTGTGCACACTGACCACATAGACCCATTCTTTCATATGAAGGCCTACCAGCTTTCTCCCACTAGATTTGAGGCCGCTAGAATTTATGAGTACTAGTACGTCAAAAACCCCTACGCGTAAGACGTACTAGTACGACGAAAACCCTCAAAGGGTTAATATGCTGCAAGTTTTCATTAATCAATATGAAAAGCTACAAAAATGATACATAAAACGGTAGATATATGAAAAGAATTACACAATTTAGAATATGAAAGGAAACTCGTGACGGGAAAGGATTTTTTTTTTTTTTTTTTTTTTTTTTTTTTTTTTTTTTTCAAAATTTGGTACATGCTTGTACCAAATTTTCTTTGGATTTCTTTGGAATTTGTCACAAATGTTTTAAATTTTCCCTATCATAGGTCTAAAATTCAGAATTTAGGCAATTTATCTACAATGGATAAAAAAAAAAAATTAAGAAAACAGAACACAAAAATCTCCATTTCTAAGTCAAACTAGGGAAAATAATATTCATACCACACTTCCTATACAGACCATATCTTTGATGAGTTTTGAGAGTCTTATTACTCCCAGAGCCCCATCCAATCTCCTATATCTGCAAGGAGTTGATCTTAAGCAAGACTTGATTATACAAAGGATACAAGTCCAGATACATGCAGAAATATTTTTTTATTCATAATCACTGCGAAGTGTTAAATTTACTTCTAGGGGATTAGGGAATGGGAGGTAAACAGATTTAATTCCAGAAAGGGAAGGGCAGCATAAATTTCTTGGATCAGGAATTTTCACCAGAATTAACCCTCTGACTGTTTCGGTCGTATATGTGTTTGACATAAATATACTCAAAAATTCTAGCGGCTTCAAATCAAACAGGAGAAAGCTGGTAGGCCCACATGTGAGAGAATGGCTCTGTGTGGTCAGTGTGCACAGTATAAAAAAAAATCCTGCAGCACACAGTGCATAATGAGAAAAAAAAACTCCAACTATGTTTTTGGATTAAAACGCCAACTTTGAAGTGTATTTTCGTATAGTTTTTATGGTTATATTCTCATTTTTGTAGTCACATTTGATAGAATGGAAAAAATATAGAAATGGAGGTGATTTTGATTGGTTTTACTATGAAAAGAACCTTGAAATGGAGTTCAAAGTAGGGGAAATGTTTGATTTTTGCCAATGTTCAAACGTAAACAAATGATGTCGTTTTCCAATAAATGTCCAGCTAGCCATTCTAATATGCAGTCATGAATGGGTTGACATTATTTATACAATTATTACAATATTTCAGTAGTCTGCATAACAGTAAATCTCCTATTTTTTGTTTGAATAAAAATTCAATATAGAAAGAAAGAGTAATATCAGAGGGGCCTGGAGACGTGACTGATGAACAAAGAAAATGTTATTCTAGAGCCAGGAATGTCTGCATTGTTCATTCTGGACCCTATTTTGAAATTGGCATATTTTTTAATTTCCGTGAAATTGGCCAAATTGCCAATTTCTGACCACTTTATTGGGCAGTTGAAATCAGTAAATGGGCAGTTTCTTGTACTCAATCGATAGAACAAATGGAGTTCTAAAGAAATAGTTGTGAGTTTGGTCAATGGGAACGATGGAATTAGCCGAAAATAGGGCTCAAATTGGGCGAAATTGCCAATTCATAAATATCGCCGAGGTCGCTAACTTCACGAGAGCATGATTCCGTACATTTTCCATCAAATTTCATACATTTGGTGTCATTACCATCGGGAAAAGATTCTCTATCATTTCATAAGAAAAAATAATTTTTTTTTTTTTTTTTTCAAATATTTTGCAACACCAGGAGACACCCCAGGATTTGGGGTTGCGACAGTCAAAGGGTTAAGGCACCCCTCTCTTCTGTTGAAGAGAGGGGTGCCTTTTTTTCATAATCAGATATAATTATACGAGACAAAGAAAAAAATGGCTATTTACCTCTCCAATGGTGTAATTAAACTGCCTAGCACGGACAATGATTTCCATCTGGAAGACATAGCCCTTACTGACACAGGCCTCTACCAGCTTTTGCAAGACCTCCTTACGGTACAATCTGTTGTGAGTGATGAAAAGATATGTTATCACAGAAAAGCAGGAGCTACATCAATGAAAAGCAACTATGTATTGCATCCTTGGGCTGCAATACATATTCTATTAGTTTCCCCACCAGCGACTGAAAAACTAGGACAACCGTCCATATTCAAAATCTCTTGAGTGTGCCTTCAAGCAACATTAATGCTGCAGTAGAGAGAGACATGATCTATTGAAAAGTACACTGCTCAGCAGAGCATCCAAAATGTTCTGCAAAAACAAAGTTCTGTTTGGAAGGTTACCAAAACAAAATCAACAAAACTGAGAACCAAGGAATCTAGTTCCAATTTAGAGAGATATACTATTAAAAATGTATGACCATATATCCTTGAGGGAATTCCGGCTCTGAGGGGTGGATGTACTGTTTTCAATGTACCATGAATTAACATGGATTTATTCACACTGTATATCAAAATACAATGGGGATAAACTATGCTCATCGAATGATGCCCTTACACATGGACTGACATATGGGCAAGCACACAAGCTTTAATCATGTATATATTAAGAATGAGTATTAAGTTGTTACCAGTCACAAAAGCAAACTAACTTCAATGATTACAACATTTTTCGAGATGCTGTAAAAAAAAAAAAAGTTATTAGAATACATTATATAAAGTCAGTAATCCAAAGATCCATCAATCATAGAATATTCTTATGAAGTTCTTAACTTAATGGGATGATTAATTATAGATGCCCTGGCAAGTTCTCAGATTAAGACTCAATGAGAACAAACCAAGAATTATGGCCAAACTGTTTGCCTTCAACAATCATCAGTCATTAATATAAACTAAAATTTTTACAGAGTAAGATGTACAGATTAGTTATAAGACACAGATAGACCCATGTCCTAATAATTACCTGAAGGAGCCGGTGAGGTCTGAAGCTCTAGGTCTGAGAAGAATCTGAGTGATGTAGTTGGCAGTTCGGCTAATCACTTTACGTTTCAGATCCCATCCATACACACCTCCACTTCCAATGTATCTAGTTCCAGAAACCAAGTCGTAGTTGCCCTCTTTTTGCTTCTTGATGAATTCCGGAATAAACTTTGGCTGGAAAAAATTATAATGTTGCAATGATAGAATATCTTAACTCAGTACCTGCACTCTAAAGAATTGCGACCCCTGAATGGGTCACAATGTATATAATGTATATTACCTGTTCATGTAATTTTATATTACTTATAATTGTGATATTAGCTAAATTGTAAATATATTGCTTTATATTATTATTTGACTTAGTTATGTTATTAGGTAGCTTGTAACATTTATATATTATTCAGTGCTCATAGTTCGAGAGTATTAAGTAGCTGACAGCGTTGTCTAGCTACTGTAGTTCTCACTTCACTTGTTTCGCTGCCAGCTGAGTTGCTGGGCAGCAGCAGTCCACGGAGTCACGTGATCTGGGTGGGGTGATCACACCTCACCTGGAGGAGAGTCTGCCTGGTCTGCGCTCCCTCTTGTCTGTTTGACGTTACTTCTAACAAGAGGTCCCTCTCCAGCTCTCCACTGTGGGCTCTTGTTGGAAGAACGTCTCTGTCGCTTTCTTGTTGTTGGTTCTGTGTAACTCCATTCACAGAACATAGCCTAGACTTAGTGATTCTCGACGTTGTACTGAGGTTGTGTCGCATAGACACTCTGAGAAACTCAGGTCCTGAGCTGTAGCTTTTGGCCTAATTTGTACTGGTATCTGTGTACTGTCACAGTCGGGGATTTTCTAATGCTGAACTTAGATTCAGTAGTATGGGAGTTTCGTGACTTTTGTGGAGGATCTGCAGATGGTCCCTACCGAGTGTCGTTATATTATCTCCTTGTTCCTGATTCTGTGTTGCTGTTGCTTGTTATATTGCTGTTCAGCTTATCAGTCACTTTATTGTTCAAGCAAGCTGTTCTAATTGCCAGGTTGGTCAAGAAGTTAGTCTATGTGAGGACTTTTAGTCAGTCACTGGTTAAGTCTAGTCGAGTCTTGAGACATAGCGAACTACTTAGAGCACTTACACTCAAACTTACTTGCATATATATGTATTATGTTATTAAATGCTAACAATGTACCAGACGGTACTTAACCCTTTGACTGTTTCAGGCCCCTTTCTGAAACTGTCATTCTATGTCACTAAATTTTTGAAAAAAAAAAAAAAAGAATTATTTTTTCTTATGAAATAATAGAGAATCTTTTCCCAATGGCAATGACACCAAAAGTTCGAAATTTGGTAGAAAACTCATGGAATTACGCTCCTGTGAAGTTAGCGGTCTCGGTGACACGTGTATCGCCGATTTTGCCGACTTTGAGCCCTATTTTCAGCCAATTCCTTTGTTCCAGTTGACGAAACTCATAGCTATTTCTTTAGAACTCAATTTTATCTATCAGCTGAGTACAAGAAACCTCCCATTTACCAATTTGGACTACCCAATATTGTGGTCAGAAATTGGCAATTTGGCCAATTTCATGCAAACTAAAAAAGATGCCAATTTCAAAATAGGGTCCAGAATAAACAAGGTAGACATTCTTGGCACTAAAATAACATATCCTCTGTTCATTAGTCATCTCTAGGCCCCTCTTATATTATTATTGCTTTCTATTTTGATTTTTTATTCATACAAAAAAATACAAAATTTACTGTTATGCAGACTACTGCATTATTGTAAAAATGGTATAAATAATATCAGTGCACTGGTGAAAGAATATTAGACTCCCCAGTTGACGTGTATTGGACGTGTGGTGTGATTTGTTTACTCCTGAACATTGGTAAAAATCGAACATTTCCGCTACTTTGAGCTCAGTTTCAAGGTTGTTTTCATCGTCAAAGTAATGAAAATCATCTCTATTTCTGTAATATGTTTTCCATTTTATCACCTAAGATCATGAAAATGCAAATACAGTGTACATCGATAAATACTATACGAAAATACACCTCAGAGTCGGTGTTTTAATCCAAAAAAACGATCAGAGTTTTTTTTTCTCATTACGCACTGTTTGCTGCAGGATTTTTTTTATGTGGTGCACACTGACCACACAGACCCATTCTCTCACATGTGGACCTACCAGCTTTCTTCCGCTTGATTTGAAGCCACTAGAATTATTGAGTATATATACGTCTGAAACACTGGCTCGTAAGACGTATATATATGACCAAAACAGTCAAAGGGTTAAAAGCCATAAAGATGTGATATGTGCCTTCAGCACAATACTACTGTACACGAGAGAAGTGTAGGAACTTGTATCCTATACAGTGGACCCCCGGTTCACGATATTAATCCGTTCCTGAGAGCTCATTGTAAACCAAAATTATCGGAAAGCAAATCAATTTTCTCCATAAGAAATAATGGAAATCAAATTAATCCGTGCAAGACACCCAAAAGTATGAAAAAAAAACTTTTACCACATGAAATATTAAGTTTAATGCAATAGAATAATTACAATAACAACAATAACAATAGAATAATATGTAACAAAAGAATAATTGACACTTACCTTTAATGAAGATCTGGTGATGATTGATGGGATGGGAGGAGGGGAGAGTGCGGATGGTGTTAGCATTTAGAAGGGGAATCCCCCTCCATTAGGACTTGAGGTAGCAAGTCCTTTTCCAGAGTTACTTCCCTTCTTTTAATGCCACTAGGACCAGGTTGAGAGTCACTGGACTTGTGTCGCACAACGTATCTGTCCATAGAGACCTGTACCTCTCGTTCCTTTATGACATTCCTAAAGTGGTTCACAACAGTGTCATTGTACAAGTTGCCAACACAGCTTGCAGTAGCTGTGTCAGGGTGATTTTCATCAAAAAAGGTTTGCACTTCAAGCCGCTTTGCACACATTTCCTTAATTTCAATAGTCATTAGCACCCTTGGTCTCGATGGGTTGGCACTAGAAGCTTTCTTGGGGCCCATGGTGACTTATTTTGCAGAAACAAGCACCAAAAACAGTGATAATATGGATAATATAGAATGTACCGAATGTATCCTTAGATGCGCACACACTGGCTGGCTTGTAAACATTGGACACGTCTCGTACAAATCGTATCGCATACCGGGTTTTGTATCGGGAAGCGAGGCAAATTTTTCGATCAAATGCATCGGCTACCGGATTTATCGGATACCGATAGCATCGGGAACCGGGGGTCCACTGTATTATATTCAATTGATTACTATAATTTACTTTGACATTATATGCCTAGACAACTTTATTGTTATTAATAAACTTATTAAATTTTAATTTCTTTAGTTAGTAGCCTACCAGTTGTAATCCTGAAGCACTATTGAATCTTACTAAATTCTAATGGATAATTGGACCAGGATACTGACTACTTGTTACAAAAACCCAGTAACAGGCTGGATGCTAGAAGGACAGTCCTTTCTAGTATTCACTGGAGATCTCTATGCTTATTAGAAATCGCATTTTTTGTAGCAAATGGGGGCCTGTCCAGGAGGCTTTTGATCCAAGGTGGAGAAATTGTCCAGTTTGACACACTAGTAACTCTATGGTCAAACACTGAGTACTTTCCTAATCTGAAGACTTTGAGTTTAGTCTTGTACAACATAATAGGTGGATGTCTGTACAATGGAACCTCAAAAATCGAACTTAATCCGTTCCAGGAGCTAGTTCTAAATTCGAAAAGTCTGAAATTAGAAGCAATATTTCCCATAAGAAATAATGGAAATACAATTAATCCGTTCCAGAAACCCAAAAATATTCTCAAAAATAATACATTTTATAGGGATTAATTACAGTTTTACATACACACAACAAATGCTAGAGTCTTCAATTATGTATAGTAATATAAAATAACATTTTTACTTACCTTTATTGAAGATTAGTGATGGCATCTGGAGTCATTGGACCCCAGTCTCACAAAATAACTGTCTACAGTCCTCTGTTTCTGTCTCACAAAACTATCCACAGTCGTCTGTTTCTGTCTCACAAAATAACTATCCACAATCGTCTGTTTCTGTCTCACAAAATAACTATCCACAATCATCTGTTTGTCTCACAAAATAACTCCACAGTCTGTTTCTGTCTCACAAAATAACTGTCCACAGTCGTCTGTTTCTGTCTCACAAAATAACTGTCCACAATCGTCTGTTTGTCTCACAAAATAACTCCACAGTCTGTTTGTCTCACAAAATAACTGTCCACAGTCCTCTGTACATCCTGGCAAGCTCAACAAGTCTCACACCACTCTCATACTTCTGTACTATTTCCTTCTTCACATCTATGGTGTTTCTCACTTTCTTTACCACAGGGGTACTGCTAGCAAGTTTCTTTGGGCCCATGGCAGCTTATTTCACAGTCCCACAACAACGAAATAATCCACGCAACGACATAATCGTAAAATGTGTGAATCAGAGCGCAGGTTAGTGTTCACTCAAGCATAAACAAAGCTAGACTGCTCACGGCGCCTGCGCGGGGACGCGGACAGAGCAGGCCAGTAGACAGGTCCCGTACCCGGCGGTCCGAAATTTGAAACGCGTTCGATTTTTGGTATACACGGTTTGTCCGAAAAAATGGTCTTATTTTCGAAACGGTTCAATATTTGGTATGTTTGATTTTCAAGGTTCCACTGTACTTGACTGAGTCTCTTGATCCAAGGAGATGGAAATACTGTTTATGAGCTCTAGTTCTAAGACAACCAACAAAAAAATTTCCCTATTGGTTAAAGTTTCCTATAATCACTCTCTCGTAGTGCATTTATTTTCGTGATGTATGTCAAAGTGAAACAGTTAATTGATACTCTGACTTTGTCGGAGTTGAGTACGTTAAAACTTCAGATGTGTTGGTGAGTAGCCAAATATTTCTGGGTGTGACGATAAAGGAATTACACCGCGAAATTTCGGCATTAATTAAGATAGTACAGTGGACCCTGCCTAAAGAATGCATTGCATAACGTTAAATCCACCTAGGATAAAATTTTAACGCAAAAATTTTGCCTGGGCTAGCGCTAAAAAACTCGCTCAAGCAATTCTTTTCGAGACGCGTCCCGTGAGGCCTAGCCCGCTCACTTTTTTGTGGCGCCAGTGTTTACAAGCCAGCCACCGCGGTCATTTCCCAAATAAAA